CTGGTCATTGCGAGGAGTTAAAATGGACCTTTCGCATAGCCAAGAATTGTTCTTATTTAATATATTTGTTACGTCACCGTAAACTGACGATGTAAGATGTTGTTGGGATTGCACTATACAACATAACTCAGGCGTCAGAATAAGTTTTCCTTGGTGTAGCAGTGGATAGGTATCTTTGGTGAAGGTATTTTCTTTAATAATATATCAGAAAATTCACGATCATCCGGGTTATCTACAGTTCTCACTCGCATGTTTATAGTCAAATGCACCGATTGTATATCACGCCACAAATAAGAGCTTTTCAGGCAAGCCCTAACCTCAGCAGCTCGGGTTCCCCGTGGTATTACCGTTAAGGTTTGTCGGAAATCACCACAAAATAAAACTGTGATACCGCCCATGGGTCGATCATTTTGTCTTATATCTCTTAAAGTTCTGTCTACCGCTTCTACTCCTTTTCGATGGGCCATCGTACATTCATCCTATATGATTAAATTACACTTTGAACGAATATTTAAACACTACCAAAACAACTAATATGTGGTCCTAACTTTAGCTACCTTACACATAAAATCTAAGTGACTATTTGAACTAAAATATTCTTATAGAATTATAACCAGAAATATATACAACTCACAACAAAAAAGAAATGCAAATATAGCTGAAACGCCTGTGCAATACTATCTACCTATACCTCCTTCCCTTAAAAATAAATACTTATAACTACTTTAATTAATAAAAGTACCTACGCTTAATAATTTTTAATTTGAACGAATATTTAAACACTACCAAAACAACTAATACCTGTTTTACAAAATAACAACAAAAGAAATTCAAATAAACTATTTAAAGACTAAAAGTCGCGCTGATAAGCACGGTTTCGGTCTCCCAAGCGGGGGAGCAGATGAGAAATCCTCATGGATACCCAAAGCCGGCTGCAAGGTTATGTCAGACTCGTACTGACTAAAAAATACCCGTAGGGGCTGCCTCTGGCCGGTAAGGCCTCTAAGGCTTCATCGGAAGCTATCGTCCCCCAGGGGGGGAGCGACGCAGAAAACAGATTTAGACAGCTCGCTCTCGGACCTTTGATACCCTACCGCTGCCGCGACCCGTGTCGAGCGCGGCAACCGTTACACAAAAATAATCCTTATAGCATGATTCAGTATTCACGTGCGACGGCGCGATGGCTTATTTCATGTATAAGTTTGGTGTTTCTATACCGAGTATTATAAACGTAAGAGTAAACAAATATGATCAGAATGCTCCGAACTGCTAAGCTATCGGGAGTTACACGTGTTATTGTGAGTCAACCATAAAAGATAGACATATGCTGTTGCGGGATATTTTTTAGACAATTTTATGTAAAATATTTCCGTCATACATGATTTCTATGTAACTTTAATCATTTAGGCTGCACACGCGACGGAAGCTTAAAAAATGGAGTAACTTCTCCCGTTTTCCCAACATTTCCCTTCACTACTCTGCTCCTACTGATTGTAGCGTGATAAAAAGTATACTATAACCTGCCCAGGAGTATGAAGAATAATTGTACCAAGTTTCGTTAAAATCCGTCGAGTAGTTTTTGTTTCTATAAGGAACAAACACACAGACAGACAGACAGACAGACAAAAAATTTACTGATTGCATTTTTGGCATCAGTATCGATCACTAATCACCCCCTGATAGTTATTTTAAAAATATATTTCATGTACAGAATTGACATCTCTACAGATTTATTATAAGTATAGATTAAAAATACCACTATTCGATTTTCAAATTTCCCTCCGCATTTTCTCGAGAGCCAATTAAGTTTTTGTTGTTTCATTAAAAAGTGGATCTGCATTGAGAACATTTCCGTGCTATATTTTTAAACGATTTTAAATGTGGCTTAAAACCTGATGAGCCGTTTGATCGATTTCGAACTGATTTTATCGATAAAGGACCTTCGAAAGCAACCATCTACCGCTGGTGTAGCGAGTTCAAACGCGGTCGTCTTACTTTGTGGGATAAACAAAGGAGTGGTCGTCCTATGACGGCTGTCACCGCAGAAAGTATGCTGGCAGTAAAAAAATAATTCAAGAAAACAGACGAATTACGTACGAAGAGATTCAGCATACTTTGCAGATTGGTTCAGGAAGTGTTCACAAGATATTGCACGAGCACCTTTGCGTAAGGAGGATAGTTTCCCGCTGAGTGCCGCACAACATCACCGAAGCTCAGAAGCAGGCCCGTGTGGATTGGTGCAGTGATATGATACAAAAATTTGATTCAGGCTCGTCACAGTGCGTTTTTGATATTGTGACAGGTGACGAATCTTGGATTTATCAATACGATTCAGAAACAAAGCGTCAGTCGACAGTTTGGCTGTTTCAAAATGAACCAACGTCTACGAAAGTGAAGCGATCGGGGAGCGCAGGGAAAATTTTGATCGCTAGTTTTTTCACTTTGACGGGGTACCTAATTTCAAATCCACTTCGAGACCAAAGCAGCATCAACGCCGAATGGTATAGCACAAAATGCCTGCCAGAAGTATTTTCTGCAATGAGCAACAAGTGACCTAACACCGGGATCCGCGGGGTCCTTCTTCACCACGACTTCCGGGACTTCAACACCAGTCAGAGTCTTGGGACCAAGGAGGACCTTAAAGTCCTAATTTCCTCCTCCGGCTCCGTGTGCCTTATTTTTATTCCCTAAAATAAAAAATCAGCTCAAAGGGATACAGTTTTCATCGCCGGAAGAAGCGCTAGCAGCATTTGAGAAGGCTGTGAAAGAGGTGTCTGCGGAGGACTGGAAAACATGTTTTGAAAATTGGTTCAAACGCATGAAACTTTGTATGGAGGCTGATGGAGAGTTCTTTGAAAAGATTTAATAAAAAATTTTTTTTCATAGAAGTTAGTTTTTTAATTTTTCAAAACATTTTGAGTGTCCCACGTTTACTAATATTATAAAGCTGAAGAGTATGTTTGCTTTATTATTATTATGTAACGACTAATAGGAGCAGAACACCAATGAAAAATGTTGCGGAAAAAAATATGTAAGCCGTCCAAAAATCATGTATGACGGAATTGTTTATAAATTCTATAAAAAAGTTACTACACTATAACCTTTTTCTCAAATTTAATCGGGTGAAACCGCAAATCATATATAGATTAAACATAATTTCTAAATAAGTATGTATACGGACCATAATGAACACAATGCGACTGGATCATGATTTTAATTATGCCTATAAATTACATAAAATTCATCCATTTACATATTATAAATGACGTTCTAACACTTGAGAACAGCTCAACCGATATTAAGGTTTATACGTGAGTATTTTGGAAAAATCCACCTGAAACTGCTTCAAAATTTGTGTTTGTATGGAAGATTTATTTGAAGGAAGGGCGCTTGTTAACGAGACGATTTCTACACCGTGCCGGCTAAATCCGGGTACTCATTAGCGAGCTGTAACCGTAACATGCGTGATACAGTACGAGGTTCTAGTGTGTATGCTTTATAGCTCAGTTGTCAACGTCGGCTCGCTGCAAACCGCACGCGTACCGCTCGCAGCAGGTTAGCGAACCACGTACTCACTATGCTTATTGGTTACAGTGCATGCAAAGGTTACGGTAACAGCTCGCAAATGAGTACCCGGCTTAAGCTTGTTCACGAGCATAGTTTGCACATTTGTACCGACCCAAAACCGTTACTAACGGTGTCGCTAACAAACCTCCATAATGTCCTATACCTTCTTGACGACCGGACGTAGACACGGTTTAAAACCGTACCTAGACCCGGCGGAAACCGTCTTGTTAACAAGCGCCCTAAGATAAGGGGTTTAGACAATAGCAAAAGTGACCTTCTCTCTATTTGTTTGAATATTGAATATTATGAAATTATCAATATACAATGAAGAAACTTATCGCAAGCGTTATGAGTATAAAATTTTTGTTGTACGGAATCAATAAGCTTGCCACTCATAATTTTAAGAAGAAAGATGGCTTCTATATCTGATAAGGTGTGGTCTAGGATGAAGGGTGGGGTAATGCGCAGTGGAAAACTTGTATTACTCATGAAAAATGGTATTACTAGCTTTCGCCCGCAATTTTTTTATAGTATTTTGAGAATCCCATAGGAACCTAAAATTTTAACTACGGAACAGAAAAATCTTATTTTCTGTTTTGTGATTTTAACGGATTAATGAGCATGTTATGTCTAAATCCAGGCCTTTCAGCCTCTTTGGTGTGATTGAGTAGCAAACATGCGAAATTTAATATTATTAGTAGGAATTAATATAATTTGTTTTTTTGACAGGCCAGTGATGTATAGACAGTGATGCCTATAACAGCGGTATCACGTGAGACGCCGCCCGCGTCGCCGCCGCTCCACCCCGCCACTTATGAGGAAGCCCTAGCTACCGTACGTATAACTATAACTATAGAAAATATTTCAAGAATCCTAAAAATAGTGCTAAAAGTACACCAAAAATATATTTTGGTGAAGGTTTGGTTACGTTGGTAAATTTGTTGGTGTTACATTTAGTACTTTTTTGAGGATTATTGACCATGAAATTATTAAATTTATTAGTAAAAGTAGGCAGTACAAACTTGCTGAAGTGATCCAATGTATGCATGTTAATGTTTAATAGTTAACTCTTTATTACGTAATTAGAAACTAAAATATTACCACAACAAAGTTAGTCGGGCGTTCAACGCGACCAAAAACTTATAGTACTTGGACGCATGTTTTGACAGGTTTTATTAATAAACCAGATATATAAAGTTACTTTTTCATAAAATAAACAGTCAGTGAACATCTCGACAATCGATAAATGCCAAGTTTCGTATTGCACACATAATTTCTCAAGCATAGAAAATCCCCACACTGTCTTAAATTCCATCACTTAAGTGTGAAAATTGGCGGTCTCCTCACACATATATTGGCATCATTGAATGAAACATACCATAAAAGCGTACGAAATTTTTATTTCATAACTTAAAACTCATGCGCATCTTTAACGATTAACATCGATTTGTTATGCTAATTCCCTATCTCCTTGACTCCTTTGTACAAAACATTGTCGTAACGTCGTGCAGTAGTAGTACATCATGCGTCTACTCAAACGTTACTATTGCCCCACTGTGTGAATGGAAAATAGCCATAATAACGCAAATGGACGTAAAGTACAATCCACCTGCATACAATAGCTTAGTAGTGTGCGATTCCCAGCATCCGACCGACGGCCAACCTCGCCGGCGCTTATAAGAATTAAGCGGAAATTAAAAAGAGACCTAATTAGAATCGTGCAGTGTTAAAAAAAACTTTTTAAATTTCGAACTAGTGTGGCGCCGTTATGTTTAATGCAGAGTGTTCGTTGTGATTGTTTCTTAAATTCCATTGAGTTACTAATTTGTGATATTGTGATAGTTATTCATTTGTGATAAAGTGATAGATAGATTTATTAAGTCGAAGTTATTAGTGGTTTGTATGTCCTGATAAAACTGAAAAGGTTACAAAAAGCCATCATGCCTATCGGCGACATCACGAAAGCAGGACCTGAATTCGGATGGACATAGGATTTTAAAATATTAATATTTTCTATAGAAAACTTCAGTCGATAGATAATATCATTTGAAATGTGAATCATTAAAGCGGAACGGTTCATTATCCATGGAGGCCTTGTTCATATTTTATCGTGTACGAGTTAATTACCTAGATATTCGCTTTTTAGATCTTTCTGCGCGATTTTTCGCACGTCAGATGAGAAAATATTCATATCCCTTTTTCAAAATAATTCTCTTTTTATTGCTTGTTCTGAAGTTGGAAAACAATGAGAACTTAACTAACAACTTTGCCTGGCGAAGCTGCAGTAGGCTTTATGTTTTTATTTTCACTATGAATGAACTTATCTAAATAAGTTTCAAAAGATTAAAAACAAGGAATGTTCTTATTTTTTGCTTACTAAAGAACTCTACAGACATTGTCCTGCCTACTAAAAAATAAAAACATAAAGCCTACTGCAGCTTCGCCAGGCAAAGTTGTTAGTTAAGTTCTCTTTTCTTATGTACTGTGAATTTGAGTTACCAAAGAAACTTAAAAAAAAAATGATAAATAAAAATAAGGCGAACTTTTATTAAAGTTAAGAAAAGTTTAAAGAACGTAGATTCTAAAAGTAGTTTTATTTGAATCATTTTCTTATAATTAAAATTGTTAAGGTTTAAGAAATCATAATTACACATGTGTGATTATGTTTTATTTTGAAAAATTAAGACATTTTCGAATAAAAATAATTTAGGAAAAAAGTGTTTTTGCGAAAATATAACCTAAATCTAGGTCTGAATTAGCTAGTAAAGTATCTCAGGTAACTCCAAATTCATGGTTACTTTCTTAATTTTATATCCGTAAGAAACCTACGAAATAAACTCATCAAAAAGGTCTATGTTGCTTAGACTTAGTTGTACGGTTTTTGAAAATTTTAACGATTTTTAGTATTGTTATATATTTATACTATACTATTATAAACATAATCGAAAAGTTTCTACTTACAATCTTTTTTGTTTTAAATTGATTTTGATTGATTGATTTTTGGTAATATAATTGACTTATTTTAATAAGTCAATTATATTACCAAATTATTTTAATAAGTCAATTATATAACCGATAACAAAAAAGATTGTACACCAATCCCTTTCGCAAAAAAAAATAACATTAATTAATGAAACTTGTTGCTGTTTGTATAAAACAAACTTAGAAAAAAGAAGGATGAAATCAGTAAAGCTGTTATGTTTTTTTTAAAGCATTTAACTGCTCTTCTTTTTTTCTAGTAAAACTTTTCTTCAGTGAAGCTGTTTTCAAATTATGGAGTGACCACAGGAAATAAGAGTTAATTTTTATTTAAACGTGTATATAGAAGATAACTTTCCCTTTATTTAAAGCTTATAAGTGATATTATCTTTACGGACGACTTCATTTATTTTAAAATCTTTTTTAAATAATCAATTAGCCGGTTCAATTAAGTAGAAGTAGTTACTCAATAAAGGACGGATATGATACATAAATAATTCTTACTCAAGCATCGACGCTTATGAAAGATCTATACTTACATCTACCTACGTACCTAGAGTATGTAAAGAATACCTACTTAAAACTAAAATTGTTATTTTTACATAGATTTGCTAATTTCTTGAGCTTTTTAAAATATTTCTTTTAAGATCTTCTTATGTTATGTTAAGACTGGCAAACAAGCGTATGACCCGCAGAAATCAGAAATCAATATATCTTTGTTCAAATTGGATGTTATAGTACAACTCTTTTGAATCGTCCAAAATTTTTTTTCCTTACCACTCGTTATGGACATATTTTTTAGCTGCGGAGAAAAACGAGCGAAAAAAACTCCACAACAATAAAAGTCTGATGTAACAACATTTACAAATCATCATGTTGCTACAACGTCAATACAATTATGATTTATTTAATATAGAAAACCTGTTGGAATGGTTGGAACAGTTCAAACCCAAGCATTTTTGTCTGTAATATAATCAGACACTTTGTAATAAGCTTTTTTAATAAGTGCTTTTTTATACTATCTTTAAATTTATTTATGGTTAACTAAAATGAACGAAAAACGCATGATAAAGATTCAAAAATATCACTCGCTGTACTGCTCATCCCGACCCGATCCCCTACCCCGTGAAGCCTTAGAACCTTACTCACCAACAGAAACACAAAACAACCAAAAGTTAGTGTTATTTTACTGTGATCTTCTGTAAGGTGAAGGTTACTCCATCCGGGGTTACCTAAAACGGGCGCTTCAATTCGAGCGGGAAATACGCTATGCCATACCTATCTTGAAAGTTTTTTATTATAGTTCGTATATGATAATCATAATCATTTATTTCGTACTAAATTACACGTCAATAATAAATTTCTGAACAGAAATCCATGAAGTACTCACTAAACATTCATTGATTTTTAAATGTCAAATAATCAATTCTCATGTCGATTTCAAATTATATAAAAATATATTACCGAGTCAAAACAATTAAAATGCAATATTTATACTTAAATAAAGTTAAAAATGTCAAACACAAATAACAATAATCAATCTATTACGACCTCCGTGGCCGAGTGGTTTGTACGCCGGGTTTCATGGTGTCGCCGACTCGAGAGGTCCCGTGTTCGAATCCCGATAGGGGCAGATGTTTGTGTGATGAATACGAACAGTAATGGATGTTTAATATGTATTTCTATATAAATATACTTATACATGTACAGTATATGTATTCTATCCGTTACCCTAGCATCCCATAACACAAGCCTTACAGTGCTTACTTTGGGGCTAGGCTAATTGGTGTGAGTGTTGGAAATATTTATTTATTTATTATTTATTACATCGAAAACAGGCAAATCATTTTCATGATTATAATATTTACCGGCTATTTTCCACGCTACTGATATAGAATAGTCTTATAATTGGCCTAATAAACTAAAACGAATCCAATCTGCGTACTACACGATACTCATGTACGTCGTCGTCGAGTTACGTAATGGAATTCACTAGTTCGAACGCAGTAAGAATAGCCGGCTCACCTTGCCTCGTGGGAGCGGTGTCCCATGGAAATTCCATACAATTGTCGTATTCGTTATGCCAATCGCTGCGACGAAAAGGGCGAAAGTTACTTTTAATATTAAGTTAATTTGCTTTTTTTATTATATTCATTTTGTACACGAGAAGTAACCGCAGCCGGAAGACGTTTGTGGTCAAATGATCTGAAAAAAAAACGAATATTTAAGTATTATGTAAAAAATTAAACACTCTTTATAATCATAATATAAATAAATTGAATTTATTTTAGACTTTCATAAAAGCTTTCTTACTTTATTTTTGCCCTTTCAATCTATTTATACTTTTCCCTAGGCAGAGTTACCCTAAGGTAAGGTGGCTTTCATCGCTTTGATGTTAGCATCAAAGCGATGAAAGCCACCTTACCTTATTTTTGCCCTTTCAATCTATTTATACTTTTCCCTAGGCAGAGTTACCCTAAGGTAAGGTGGCTTTCATCGCTTTGATGCTAACATCAAAGCGATGAAAGCCACCCGGCTTGTTCACCTATATCTATGCTGTTTCAATAACATCTTTATAGCTGGGGGCCAATCGCCTAACTGGATTGCTTTGGAAAACGCTATCGCTTACGATTTCATTTTGTTATTTCTAGCCGCCTGAGGTTTTCAAATGCCTCGCGCTCTTTTTTTTTCTTTTGCATTGGTAATAACAATGTTAAAGAAAATGAGCGTGAGGTATTTGAAAACCTTCGGCGGTTAGAAATAACAAAATGAAATCGTAAGCGATAGCGTTTTCCAAAGCAATCTGGTTAGGCGATTGGCCCACTGGACTTATTTTAAATGGATAATTGATTAGAATAAACATCATCTTTATAATGACGTTGTATACCAAATAGATCCCTCGTGATGGAGTGTAAATGCCCTAATTTATTCTTATTCAAAGGAAATGGCTGTGTATTTAATACGCGTGGCAAGAAGTAGAAAAGATTTAAAAGAGTTTATTACATATCTGGGTGGTCGAATGTTAATTTCTATGACGCAGCATAATCGTAAAACTCATATTCCGGTTTTTATGGTATACTCGTATACCGCCAGTATCTAATCCAGGTTTAAAAATATGTGACTGTAGTAAAAAATGATTTGGAAAATATTGCAACTTATTTCACATGTTTCTATGACTTCATATTCGAAGTTATTCTTAATAATACTGGGTTCGTCTCCAGTTCGTACACCCTTTCTAACATTATTTAAATTTATCGCAAAATGCTTAAACTCAACTAGGATACTATAATCAGACACTATATTATTGTTAGATATGTACACATATTTATGTATGTATATATTTGTGTGTATTATATATGTTGCTATAATGTATATGTATTTATATATGTATGTATGTGTAGGTATAATTAATTAATGCTTTTTAATTTTGTTTTTATCATTATTTGATGTTTACTCTGTTCGTTGTCCGTCTTCTTTCATGTTCTCTGCACCTTCTATCCGGTTGACTAGTAGAGAATGCCATACTGGCATTAAGTTTGCATTGTAAAGGCAATAAAGATTAAATAAATAAAAAATAAGAATTAAGTTTCTTTAGGAATATTCCGTTCATGACT